ATTTGCCACGGCGGCTCCGTGAAGGAGCGCGGCGGGATGTGGAGGGAATGGGGCTCAGCGCTGTGGGGCCACGCTCAGGATCCCATATGAGCCAGCCTGGCTCTCCCCAAGTGCAGACCTGGGCATCAGACCCAGGGCCTGATTTTATGCAAGGCCACAAGGCCCTGGGGTGGTTGGGGATGGGGGCCCTGCAAGTGTCCTGACCGGAGCCCCTGTGACTGATGTGGGGCCGTGGCCCAGTGTCCCCTGGCCTGGGAGGAAGCTGCTTTATGGCCCAGGCCCCCGGATGGAGAGGCTCACATGGCCACTCAGAATGGCTCGGCTCCAGCTAGTAGCTCCACAGAAGCAGGTGGACATTTCCTCCCAGATTACATCACAGCCACCTACAGCAGGGTCACTATGGGGAACACCTCACCAGGGTTAAGGGTGTCATTTTAGAACATAAAATGGGAGCTGCCAGCCCAGGGGCAGGTCTAAGAGAGGGCTCGGCCGATGACCTCTGGCCAGCTTCCCACGAAGGCCCATTGGGATAAGAGTTATTCAGTGGGACGGAAGCACCAGCCACTCTACTCTCTCTCCAGCCCTGGAAGCACCAGAGCTCTGCCCAGAGTGTGTCTTTGTGTCCCCTCACCCCAGAGAAGGTGAGATGGGACTGGGGTTGGATGCCTTGAATTTGAGTCTCCCACTTCCTCACTGGGTGGTCTTTGAATAAACAGTTCTCTCTCTGGGCCTCTGAGAAGCCTCTCACCCCCACCCTTCTCCCCCAAACCCCAATCAGTCTTCACCGGTTCCATCATTAATTGTGGTGGCTGATACCCAACTCTCTGGACTGCACGCTTTTTGAGGATGGGGCACAGTCTCTCTTACTCCCGCCGTGCCCCCAGGACCTGGCACATTATAGATGCTCAACAAATGTTTGTTGAATGGATCACATTGGTGCTTATGGGGTGGATCGGAGGGCTCCTCCCGGCAGCTTTGGTTTGATTTGTGCTTATCCCAGAGGAGGGGGCAGGTGGCCTGACACAACACCACAGGCTGGGATTCTTTGTCCTTCTCCAGGGGAAGCCAAAGGCATTAATGCAGCCTGGTGGTCAGAGAGCAGGCTCCAGAGGCAGACAGACCTGGCTCTAAATCCCAGCTCTACCTGTCTGTGTTACCTCGGGCAGCTCCCCGAATCTGAGCCTCAGTTACCTCAGCTCAAAAATAGGAACAAAAAAGTCACCTTCCATGATAGCGGTGTGAAGACTAAATAAAATACGTGAAGGCACCTACTATGGGGCCAATAAAAAAGAGGAATTTATTTGTAGTAAATACTTGTTGAAAGAATGAATGGGAATGTTCTGGAATCTTCTAGAATCTGGCTACTCGTAGTTTATTTTCTTTAGTTTGTTGTGCAGGAATTGCACAGGAGTGAGTCAGGGGCTTCTGCCACGAGCAGCATAGGACGGGAATTGGTACAGGATTTGGATTCTGGAAGGTGTCTTGAGTCTGTGACCGAAGTTTCTCTCTGAACCTTATCTATGTACTGGGAATAAGAATAGCACCTGCATAATTGGGTTGTTATAAGGATCAGTTGACATAATATGTGGGAAGTGCTTCTAATAGAACTTGGCAATAATACCAGAACATGGTCTTACTATTATTTTTGCCATTATTTTACTTCATTTTCCGAAGATGCTTTGAAATACTTCTTCATGCCAATATTATTTTTTCTACTATATTTATTTAGTATCTTTAAGTCTCTTTTTCTTGTTTAGCTATGTAATCCATCTGAAATTTATTTTTGTGTATTTTTTGCAGTTGTCTCACTCTTATCTCTATTTATGAACTGTCTTTGTTTTTACCATGTCTGATTTTATTTATAAAACTTTACTGAGAGAGTCTCATCCCCCAGTCTCGTTCCCCCATGCTCAGAGGTAACAACAATCAAGAATTTGGTGCTTATAATTCCCAGATACGTTTGGTAATAATGCTATGCATGGATGAAATCTTAACCACCCAAGGGATCTTGCAAGTTACATTTTATTTTTAAAACTTTATTTTGACATCATTTCAGGCTTACAGAAAAGTTGTAAGAATAGTATAAAGAATTCCCATGTCCCTTTCACCCACGGCCCCCAAATATTAACTGTTCCCACATTTGCTTTTATCATTCTTTCTTTCTCTCTTCCCCTCAGCCGACCCTGCTCTATCTATAAATTTTTATTTTTCTAACCCATTTGAGACAAAATGGTAGCCATGATACATACTCCTGTACCCCCAAATACTTCAAATGTATTTCCTAAAAACAGGGACACAGATTGATGATCAAAATGAGGAGATTGACACTGATAGTATACTCTAGCACATCTACAGACCTTATTCATATTTCACCATGTATTCCCATGTTCTTTACAGGAAAAGAAACCCCTAGATCACAAGTTTAATTGTTTTCCTGTCCCTTTGGTCTCTTAATCTCAGTCTTTGTCTTTCATGAGCTTGACATTTTTTATGAGTACGGGCCAGTTATTTTGTACATCCCTCAATTTGGGTCTGTCCAATGTTTCCTTGCGATTAGATTCAGCTTAAACAATTTTTGAATGAATACCTAGGAGTGATGTTGTAGTCATCTCAGTGCATCGTATCAAGGGTGGTACTACCTACTGAGTAGTCTACTCCTTTTCCCACAGATTTGAAATGACACCTTCACAGTTTTCTAAATTCTCATATATACGTGGATCTGCCACTGGTCGCTTTATTCTTTTAAATCAGTTTTACCTAATTATGCACCCCTTTTTTGGTGTTTTTATTACTATACCTTCTTAGTGTGACAGTGTAAGTTATTCTTTTTAAAACTACCATATATAAAGTCTATACTAGAGACTCTAAAAAATTATTCTTCTACATGAACTTTATATCAGCTCCACAAAGTCTCCCCAAAATCCAATTGGGATTTTGACTGGAATCATATTGAATTTATAGATTAATTTTATGATTTTATAAATGCATTTATGATATAAATATTAAGTCTTCCTATGCAGGAATGTGTCTCTTCATCATTCGGGCCTTGAGTGTCTTTTAGGAAAGTTTTGCAGTCATCCTATGGATCATGCATGTTTCTTAACAGGTTTGTTTCTTGGTGTTTTATAGCTTGTGTTACTCACAGGAAAGGGATTCTTTCTTCCATTATATTTTCTGATGGATTATTGTTGGTATATAAGAAAGCCATCGACTTGGGAATATTGGCTACTTAGCCAAATACTCTTTTGTTCTACTAGTTTTTCAGTTGATTCTCTTGGGTTTTTTATGTAGGCACTTGTATCTGCAAATAGTGACAGATTCATTTCTTCCTTTCCTATATTTATGCTTCTTGTTTTTGTCTTCAAGTTGGCTAGGATCTCGAGAATGATTTTAAATAATATATTAGTGATATTGGGCATTCTTGGTTCTTTCTGACTTTAATTGGAATAGCTCTGACATTATATGGATAAGTATTTGAGGGAGATTTTTGAGATCTACCCTTTATGGAGGTTTATGAAATTCCTAGTGAATTATATCGATCAATTTTTTTTTTTTTTGCCTCAAACTATCCCAAAAGATCTAGGGTGATGTTTTTTGGAGTTGTATTACTTTTGTAATTTGCTAATATTTGCTATGTTATTTAATATTTTTGTAGGAATTTTGGATCTTATTTATGTAAGATTTAGCTGTAATTTTCTGTTTTAAATTATTCTTGCTCAGTTTTAATATGAGAATTATGTTGACTTTGTAGCAAAAATTCCTGTCCTCACCCTACCCCCCACAATTTAGAAAACATCTGTTTATTGAGGATTTGGCAGAATTTACTAGTAAAATCATTTGGACATTCACAATATTTTAATAGTTTAAATTTTTTCCTCAGATTATTTGCCCATTTAAGTTTTCTATTTCTTCTTGAGTCAATTTTGGGTAATTTTTATTGTGTGGAAAATGCTCTATTTCATGTAAATTTTAAAATATATTAAACTAAAGGCTACCTTCCCTCCTCTCCCTCCTTTTCCCTCCCTTGCTCTCCTCCCTTCCCTCCCTCCCTCCCTTCTTCCCTCTTTCCTTCTGTCCCTCTCTCCCTCTGTCTCTCCCCCTGATTCTGTAGTTACAGCTACTTTTTCCTTTCTTAATATTTTAAATTTACTTTTTATTTTCTTGGCTTGACACATGGGGGAGGTGGGATTAACTATTTTATTGGTAATTTAAAAGACCATGCTATTAGTTTTATTATCAAGTATTTTGTTTTCTATTTCTTTAACTTCCACTTATTTTTATTCATTTTCTACTTTTGATTTTTTTTTTCTTCATAGTTCATTTCTTTTTTAAGTGACTGCTTTGGCAGTATCCCATGGGTTTTGCTATATAGTACTCTCATTGTTCATTTTTAAATAGTCTGCACTTTGTTTTAATTTCTTAAAGGTTATTTAGAAAAGTTTTTTTTTTTATGTTACATTTCCAAGTGGTTAAACTTTTTGTGGCTCTTTTTTTTTTGTTTACTTTTTAGTTTTATTGCTTCGTGGTCAGAAAATATAGCCTATATAATTTCTAATTTAAAAAAAAGTATTGAGATTTTCTTTGTGGCTTATCACATGATCAGTTGTAATTGTCCCATGGATTTTAGAAAATATGTGTATTGTTTTATAAGTATGTATAAAAATACATTGAACTGGTTGTGTTTTTCAAGTTTTTTAATTGCCTCTTTTATTTATTTTTTGTATCCTCATGTTTTATTTCTGGGAATTGTGCTGCAATCTCCTGTTATAACTGATCTTTTTTCCATTTCTTATATTTCCAACAATTTTTGCTCTCTATTTTATAGATATATAAAAGCTCATTACTGTATATCCTTTTGGTTGAATTTTATATCAATTAAAAATATCTTTTTTTTTTTTTTTTTGCTTTGGAGTTTGTTAACATTTCTACTTTTTATTGACATATGCCTGGTGTGATTTTGTTAATCAATTTCTACTTTTTATTGACATATGCCTGGTGTGATTTTTGTTAAAACAAAATCTTTGTTAAAGTAATTTAAGACTCGCAAGCAGTTGCAATACAATGCAGAGAGTTCCCATCCACCCTTCCTCCAACTCTCCTCATTGATGGCATCTCATGTCACCACAATCCTTCTATTTTAGCCTTTCTGACTCTTTTTTGTCTTAGCCCCTGGCCTACTTGCATCTCGCAATTTGTGAAATCCTCTCCTGTAACAGGGAATTTGTATACTATCCATACTTATTGCGATTGCTTAAGTTTCAGCTTCTTTCTGCTACCTAATTTTGGTTTTAGTTTTCCACGATTTTTTGTCCAGTTTGTTGTTGCATTATACCAAAGTTGTCTTTATTTCAGATTTTCTTTACTTCTCTTTCTTCCTTCTTCTCCCTGCTCCTCAACTCCTCCCTTGCTCCTTGCGTTTATTGATTTGGAAGTCATAGTCCTATTTCTCATTTCTTAAGTAACGCTTACATTTTTAACATATTTAAACTTGGGCAAGTATACATCTCTGACTCCCCACAAGGAATCCCCCCAACACAATATTTTACCCCTGAATGCACTTATACTTTCCTCATCCTCCTTCTATAATCTGTTCTTGGTTAATATGATATAGAATTTTTATTTCCAGCTTTTTAAACATTTTTTTTTCTTGCATTATGTTTTCTGCATTATGTGTAAAAGCTCTCTTGAGTTTCACAGCTATATTTCCAGTTACTGTTTAGTCTTAATTCTGTTTTGGAGGGGTTACTTTCTCTTCTTTTTAAAATTCTGTCTAATGTCTTCCTTTTTGAATTCATTTTCCTTGATGTTTTTCAGAAAAGGTGCTGAGGTGGCACCAGCGTCTTTGTATATCTGAACGGGTCATTATTTTTCTTGCATTGGAATGATGGGTGGGTTTGCAGTTGAGTTCTAGGTTCAGAATCCTTTTTCTTGGGATCTTGCAGTGGCCACACTCTTGTCTGCTGGCTTTTGATCCTGTAGGTTAAAGTCTAATAGTAGACCGACTCTTGCTTCTCTACAGGTTTTTTTTTTCCTTCTGTGGAAGCATTTAAGGATTTCTTCTTTGTTCTTGAAGTTGGGAAATTTTGTCAGGACGTGTCTAGGTGTGGATCTTGTGCTCAGTACTGGGATCTTTTGCTCTGAAAATTCCAACCCTTTTCCCTGTTCTCTGCTATCGAGAGATGAGTGACTATTGGGTCAACGTTGGGCTTGCAGGGTAGGGAGACAGTGAGGTCCGGTTGCCTGGGATGCCAAGTGCAGCTGGACAGATGGTTAGCCTGCTCTGGAATCCCTTTCCCCATCGGAACAGGCAGGTGAGAACAGCTCTACCACATAGTGCTGTGGGGAGATGAAATAGGACCCAGCTAACAAAACATTTAGGACAGGGTCTTGCACAGAGGAAGTAGTCAATAACAGGAACTGTTGTGTCGTAATTCCTTACTGGTGTCAGAGAAGGAGGAAGGAGCGGGCTTTTGAGCCGGACTTTGAGGGATGGACAAGATAAGACCCGCTCTGAGCCTCAGTTTCCCCACTACAAATGATGGAGCTTGACAGGTTTTTAGGTAATAAGTTCTCCCTTTTTAAAATTTCACCAACAGGAGTGGCTTGATAGGAGATTATTTCTCACTCCTCAATCTTAAGGCTTCTTTCTCCTCCTGCCCGGCTCCTTTTCTTTTTCCCCATTGTCTTTGGACTTTCTGGTTGGTGTGACTTTGTTGAAGGTAGGAATTCAGGGGTTCAGACTTGCCTACCTGAACCTGTTTTGATTTAATAAATGAAAAGTTAGATGGCTCTGTGCTTGATCTGTTTCTGGCATGCCTTCTAGGGTTTTCCTCTGTAGCTGCTGTATTGGGCTGCAGGCTTCCCAGTGTGTCCCCAGCTCGTGTATTCAGTAGGTGCTCAGAAAATGCTTATGAAGCAGAAGATGAGTGAATGCATCATTTTTCCTACATGGAGAAACGATTGCATCTCACTTCACTGGGCAGGTCTCCTTTGCATTTGTTGTTTAATAAAAGATTTTATTTGTAGTTGAATGACAGTCCTTTCAGGAAAACGAGAAGAACTGGTTTATAACCATTGTGAAACTCCATTTTAATAGCAGCAAGACAGGGCCCTGGCAACTTCAAAAAGGGCAATTAAGAAATTCTTGTTTGCTCAACAGAAAGAGCCATTTAGGTGGTTCCATGGGTTCCAAGTCACCCCAAAGTCTATGTAGTGTTCACCTCCTGATGAGTTTTTTTTTAGCCTCTAAGGTAATTGGTAAAAGTGTTATTTTTTAATATTGAGAGGAGTATTTGGGGTTGGTTTTTCCAAGTTGACAAACTGTTCTAGGTACATCTGGAAACATCACCTGGAAGAGAAGAAATTCAGCTGGGGAGGAAGGGGTAGGGTGTGATTTCCAACATACCTTCTCTCCTTTCTCTGGTACTGGTGAGACAGACAGGGTGTCATCCTTGCCCTCAAGTGGCCCAGAGTGGGCATGGGAATGAATCATCGCAGTGACGTGTGGGAAATGGGAACTCTCCTCTCTAGCCAGAAGAGCTGGAAGGGTCGAGAGAGCTGTGACTGGGAGAAGAGAGTTGGATGAGGAGGAGCCAGTCCACAGACCGGAGAAGGGCGTTCTGGGCGGTGGTTACATGTGTGTGCAGAGGCTCAAAGCACATGCCGTACACGTGGCAGCTACACATCCCCAGTGTATAGCTAGGCTGCATCAGGGCAGGGCGCAGGCCCACGGGCAGTGGAGCTGGGGAACCCTATATCCCATCTCGGGGGAGCAGGTGCCACCCAGCCACTGTTGATTGTTGCCACGGCAGAACACGGGCCCAGCGTGGCCAGATCTTCTGATTTTCTTTTTTTTCTTTCAAAGAGAAGCTCTAAATCTGGAGTTTTATGTAAAAATTCTGAAATTTCATATCATGACAACTAGTTGGAAAAAAAAAGTTAAATAAGATAAAACCCCCAAAACTCCACTGTAGGCCACTAGCTTGTGAAACCTGTTTAGGGGCTGGAGAGAAGCGAGGGTGAGAGGGACTCGCGCGGGCCCCCAGGTCTGGCCTCGACCGTGCCCTGTCCAGCCTCCCCTTGGCCAGTGTTGGGAAGGGGGGTGCAGGGCGTGGCCTTCAGGTTTGAGATGGAGTGCAGATGATCAAAGGAGAACTTTGATCTTCCTTGACCTTATTTTATTATGATGCAGAAAGTGGGGGTTAAAAGAGGTTTAGGTTTTTAGGGTTTCTCCTTTTAATACCTTTTATTCCCCCTTACTAAATCTGGACAGGGAGTGTGATGGATGATAGCTGAGGCTGGATCACCTCTTGGAACCTTTAACCTCCCCTTCCCCTGCCTGTGCCTGGCCTCGCACAGTCTGATCCCACGTAGAATTTCTCCCCTTTCCACCCTCCTCTTCTGCTTTGTTGAGGACCGGGGAGAGGGCGGATTAATATACTCTTGGCCTAAACTGGCCATTGATGTAGACTTTTCTGCCTCACTAGCTAGTGAATGCTCTTTGTCCCGCTAGAGTAGGTAAATAAATCTTTTATTTAAAATTCTTTGTTCTTAGATACATAACACAAAGCTGTCCAATAGAAATGTCATACAAGCCACATGTTAGCTTTAAGTTTTCTGATAGCCGCATTGAAAAGGAAAAAGACACAGGTGAAATTTTAATAACTTATTTAATCTAACTCATTATCTCTAAAATGTTATCAATTCAACATGTAATCATAATAAAAATCCTTATTAAGATATTATACATTTTTAATTTTGTACGAAGCCTTTGAAATCAGTGTGTATTTTTTCTGTGGCAGCCCATCCTCTTGAAATGTGGATATTAGCCGCATTTCAAATGCTCAATAGCCACAAGTGGTTAGTAGCAACTGTGTTAGCTGGTGTGGCTGTCACAGGTGCACATGAAGAAGTGTGCAGATAGGAGACAGTGTGCAGGCCACCCGTGAACCAGTTAATGAAAAGGACGTGCTTGATCATGCTTCCCCCTGCTCGAGCCGCGGTCAGCTGTCCATTCTCTCCCCGGCTCTGTCCCCTTCCCAGCCCCGTCTCACATCTCCCCCTTCTGTCCTGCCAGGCTGGCCTTCTCTTCCTTCCTTAAACGTGCCCAGTGCCTCCTAGCCTCTGAGCACTCTCACATGCTGTTCCCATTGCCTGGATTGTGCCCCCTCCCTCTTCTCCTCCCTTTGCTTGGTTTATGCCAACCCATTTTTCAGGTTAAATATCAGTTTCTCAGGGAGGCCCTTCCTCACCTCCCTGTCTCTGACTCCAGACTAGATTACGTTTTCCTGTTCTATGCTGTCATGGGGGAAAAGAGAGGGGCCTGTTCCTTCTCAACACCGTGATGGTTACCTAGTCATCACTGAGACTGTCATTTAGTGTCATTTAGCATTTCTCTACCACATCAGATTGTGCGCTGCAAGGATGCACGGGCCTTGATGGCGTCGTCCACTCGTTGTGTCCACAGTAGCTCTTACAGTGGCTGCAGAAAATAGATGGTCAGTAAACATGAAATGAATGGTGCAGGGCTGAGGCTCAGTCTTGTGGAGTAACCCAGGCCCATGGGACCCCCAGAGGACCTGGACCCCTGCCGGCGAGGCCAGGGCATCAGCCCCTGTGGCCATTGCTGGATCTCCTGCTTTGTCGTTGGCAGAGTCAGCCTCTCTCTGTCCCTCTCTTGACTGGCTTTTGGTTGCCTGTAAATTATATTTTTGGTGGCTGTTAATAAAAATATAGGGCTGGGGGGAAAAAAAAGACTTCTCCTAATAGAATTTTATTAAATGGCACTAGTTTAAAAATGTCTCGTAAAAAGTTAATTAATTTGGGATTTGGGGATGAAAGGCGTGATATAAATGTCAGTTATTATTATTACAATTTCAACCTCACGCTTATGCTCTTGATCCAGCCCCTGATCTGGAGTCTCTCCTACTCCCAGGGACTGGCGGCTCCGCTGAAATGCTGGAGGCAAATTTGAGCTTTGGGGATCCGTCAGGGACAAAGAGGACCTAGCCAAGTTAGGCTGCCCTGCCGTTGCGTCTAGGATAATGCAAGGCCTTGCCCGAGAGCCAGCGCCACTGTCGGGCCGACAGCCTCCGGAGCAGGATGGTCTTGGCGCACCGCCGAGCTCCCTGCTGAAGCAGCCGGGAACATCAAGGTCACGGGGCCTAGCCCGGTCACAGAGACCTGGCATGTTCCAGCTGCCGGGACTCCGAGATTGTAGCCCACTCTCATCCTACGGAGAGGGAAACTGAGTTTGGAGAGGGATGGTGGCTTGCCTAACCCAAGGTCACATAGCAAGTTAATTAAATTTACAGAGAAAAAGGCAGTGAATGCAATTAGTGAAGTGGGGGAAGCCTTCAAAAAAGAAAGGGGTCAGGCAATTTATTGGTGACAAGTCTAGAAACTGTTTTCCAAGGAAACGAGGAGTCCTGGGACTTCTTGTGAGTTCACAGAGACAGACAGCCCTTCGCTCCTTCAGGACGTCCCACCTTCCTTCCCCTGATGGCAGACACTGTGCCTAGAGGGAGCTGTCGGCCTGACCCAGTGTGTAATTACCAGCGCGAGGTGGGGGGCAGGCTGGGATGTTAATCAGCGTCTCAGCGAGGAGTGAGTGTCTGCACGCTTCAGTTTCCTCATCTCTGAAAGGGTATGAAAGTGCCCCCGCAAGGGTGCGGTGAGGGCCGGGCGGACAGGAGAGCGTGCGTTTATGCGCCGTGAGTGGCAGCGGGCAAGCCGGGCACCTTGCGCTGAGACTCGGCTGCAAGGGAGCCCCGTGGTCGGTCGTTCCAGGGGTCCTTTCTGGGTGTCCGCTCCCCCTGCAGAACCCCTGACGGGTGCCCACCTCTTTTCAGTGTTGGGCTCACCCGTTCCTTCCCTGCGGCCCAGTCTGTTTTCAGTGGTTCCCGGGAAGCCGCCTCCTGGGGGCCGCCTAGCTCTGTGTTGTGGACTGCGTAGACGGCATCTCCCTCTCCCCGTCTCAGCAGAGGTCTGTTGCTATCTAGCGCCACCGTGGAAATTGCCTACACACAGCACCTGCTTTGGAGGAGGGGCTTGGGGAAGGTTTGCAACATGAAGCAAGGATGCACGCTCCTGCCTTTTTGGCTCTCTTGACAAAGCGTCTGTCCTGGGGCCTTTTAGTGAATACTGCTCCACTGGTCTATTGGGATTGTCCAGGGGATTTTGGAATCAGGCGGCTGGATCTGAGCCTGGGCTCCTCCACTTGAGCAAGATACCTAATCTCAGTAATCCTCAGCTTCCTCACCTGGACAGTTGAGCTGCAGGATACCTGTTCCACAGCATTACTGCAGGGATGGAAAGGGGTAACGTACGTGAAGTCCTTAGAACACACAGTGAGGGTGGAAATAACTAGATATACTCAGTACGTGAAACGACTCCCAAAGTCCAGCAGGCCTTGGCACACAGACCCCTTCTGGAACCTTCCAGTTCCCACAGCCAAGGCCACCATGAGGTTATTAAATGACTGTTGAATTGAACTGAATTGAGAGTTCTGGCCTGGGTTTCATGGAGCTCAGCGTTAGGCCCTCGGGAGGCCCCTGGCACCTGGCTGTCCCTGTGAGGTTGCGCTGTCCCTGCCGTGGAGGCTTCTGAGCACGTTCAAGTTCTCGGCCTTGTAGAATGTGAACGCAGCCAGTAGTGGTCTCAACTAGAAAAACAAGTGCTGCAGCTCTATTGTTACGTTTTACCATAAATAAAATGTTTACTCTCTTCCCTTCCCCGTTGTCCCTCCAAGGAAACCACAGCTGCCTGAGACTTTGAAGTCCTCTTGGTGGAGGTAGAAGGCCTGGGGGGACGGGAGGGAGAGAGGAGGTCCAGGCCACCCCTCGGTGGGTCGCCATCTTGTCCCTCTCGACAGAGAGCGCCAGCATGGCAGCTTGTCACCCCCTCCCCCAGCTGGGCCGATCGTGTGGAAGGAGCAGAGCGGCCTCCCCCGCCCTCATCTTTATTGGATTTCAATGAGTCTTTCTGCTCTGGGTCATACATGCAGGGGGACCTCATAAACAGAGCCGTGGAATTTTCTTTCCCTTTGTACTGAGGGCCCCAGGCGCACTCCACTGCCACTTTCCAACCCGGATGGGGAAGGCGCAGGCAACCCCACAGCCTTGATTTCTCCGAAGTGGCCCTGGGACTTGGGGTGTGACCGTTCTGTTCATAGGCTCAGGCCAGTGGGAAGGTGGGTGGGGACAGAGCAGAGGCGGCCTCTCCCACCACCGCGGCACCGAGTGGCCGTCTTCGCCTGGAAGTCCAAATCCCCACGCTTTTCTGTGGAATGTGTCAGGGCCTTAAAGAGGATTGCCGAGGCCCCGGGAATCACAGCTTTGCAGTTGTCGGATTGGAGGAGGGATCAGAGGAGGCATGTGGCTGTGGGTATTAGAAGGTTCTAGAAAGATTTGGGAGGTCCTCTCCAGCTGAAATGTTTTCGATCCAAACTTAGTTGATTAAAAGGTCGCGTGTAATTGCACCACACCCACCTGGTAATTGCCAGTTAGGTGCCTGTCCTGTGCCATCCATCCACCCACATGCCTTTGAGTGCCCACCGTGTGCCAGCCCCCCGTGCTGCGGGAGCGGATGAGAGTCCCTGATGCCATCCTTGGTTACAGAAGGCGGTGCCTGTCACAACACAGCTGTGCCCTCCTGCAGATGAGGCGTGTGCCCAGGGTCGGCTCTGTGGACGGCATTATCTCAGCACTTACTGGCTTCGTAAGGGAAGCTTCCTGCTTTTCTGCGTTTGGAACTGGGAGGTCTCTGTGACCTCCTTTTTCTCCCCAAGAGGGGGAACTGAAGGACAGTGGGTAATTGATCCATCTCTGCCTGTTTTCTCAACCTCTCAGTGGCAGGAATAGAGCTGGGGTGCAGGCCTCCCAGTCGCCTGTCCAGATGTTGTAACTGGGTGAGATGGGTTGATGGAGGGGTGAGGCCACGTGAGTTGGCCATGGTCACCCGTGAGATTGCCTTGCTTTTGGCTTTTGCATTGGAGCTTCTCTTCTCCCACTTGCAGGTAGCTGCTGGTTGTTACAAATTGCTGCTTGCATTTGGAAAAATACACTTAGAGAAGGAGCATGTCTATTGCAGCCCTCCATTGAGGGCTGGGTCTTCGCAGTGGAAGCCCTGTAACTTACAAAGTCACTGGCAGGGATGGTCTCTGATGTGACGAGAACATTTCTGTACCCACCATCTCTCCAGGCCCTTTCCCTTCCGTGGTCTGGAGACAGGAGTCATTTGTACGGTCCCTCAGAGGCATTTGGTTCTTCCTCGTGGCTGGTTCCTCCGCATCTTCACCACAGGGTTGTGCGACTTGAATGCCTCTGTTGTCGAGGTGCTCACTACCTCTCTCTCAGACTCTTTCCCTGGAGGAGGATGTGCCTCTTCCTCCTGAGCTCAGAGCTGCCTCCCTTTGATTTCTGTCCCCAGGGGCCATGTGCTCACCACCCCCCATAGCGAAGGGCAGGTCTCTGGTCCCACACGGCTCAGCTCTGTCAGCCGCCACCATGCCGGCTCCGCCCGGGAAATACTGCCCGTCGATGTGTTAAGTGTGTCACTGCCAATAATAGTGCGAAGGCTCCAAATCTGAGGGCCTTTCTAGGATCGTTTCCTGATTAATTAGGTCACCATCTCCAAAATCAATTTCCAGTGAAGTCGCGCCGCCTGGTCGCTCCGATCCCCGCCCAGCGGGGCGAGGGAGTTGGCACGAGAGGCAATTCCCCGGCCGCGGCGTGGTTCAGGCCTTGTCTCTACCTGGGAAGAAAGTCACAGTGCACATCTCTGCTGTGATTATCCTGACTTTTTATTTTATCTGCCCCCCTCAAATCTTCCATTAAACCCCCATAGATCCTGCTTCAAACAGGCAATTAGACTAACAACGTAATTATATCCCTCGATGCTAATTGTAACTGGTTTAGGGGAAAAACAAAGAGAAAGAGGCTTCAAAATCTCTGGAAACTAAGAGCAGCGGTTCTAATTTCCAGGTATTTCTCTTCCCTGCGTGTTTCTTTGAGAGCCCTGGTTGCCGGCTGGCTGGCGTCTCGTTGGCGTGGCTCACCTTTGGCTCAGACACCATGAGGACAACCTCACTCCTGTCTCTCCTGAGTGTTCGCTGGTGGGCACCCCGTCCCGTCCCTGCCCTTCCTCGGATCCTCCCTCTGCTCTGACTCTGTCTCAACTCCTTTCACCCTGTTAGAGGAGTCGCAGATGCTGGGTGGGGGAAATGGCATTTCTTCCCGCTCTGGCTAGCACGTCGTCATCCCCGGTCACCATGGGTTGGATGACCCATGTGATTCTCAGCTCAACCTGATCCTAGGGTTTGAGCCCAGGGTTGTGTGACAAGGATGCAGGAGGGAGACATCTCCTCCCACCCTCCTGTTCTCAGTGTTTTCTAAATCTCTTCCTGGGCTAGGCCTGCGCCCGGCGCACAAGCCTTGGTCCCTGTCGCTGGGCTGCCCGCGGCCTGGGGAAGGAGGCAGGCAGGTTGCTGAGCGGTGGGACCACTGGGAAGAGTGTGCATCGGGGGACCCGCAGGGTGAGATGGGAGGTGGAACGGGAGGGCGGGCATGTCCGAGAGGTTTCCTGGTGGGAGACGCGGAATATGGGGAGGAGAGCTAGCCAGGCCGTGGGTGTGGGAGCGGGTCCAGGAGCCCCGGTGTGACTGGAGCGTCAGGTGTGAGGATGGCCATGGTGGGAGCTGAGGCTGGAGCAGCACAGGGGCCGGGTCGCAGAGGAGGAAGAGGAGGAGGAGTGTGGTTTTCACCTGGGTAGGAAAAGGGAGTCAGGGAAGTAAAGGTTTAAGCAAGGAGATGACAGAGTCAGACTTATGTCTCAAAAAAACCAAACAGGCTACAGGTGGAGGTAGTTGGATGGGAGGGGGCTTGAATGGCAGCTAGAAGTCTTGTTAGGAGGCTTCTGAAAAAGCCTAGGTGGTTTTTCATGCCGTGATGGGGCTGGACTAGCTGTGTGATTTGGAGGTGGTTGCTTAACCTCTCTGAGCCTCCCTTTCCTCACCAGATTAAAGTGAGGGCATTCATATTTACCTTTCCATGATGTAGGGGGCATATCAGAAATAAGGTCTATAAAGGTTCTTGCTCAATGTCTGTCATGGAGTAGGCATCAAAGCAGTATTTCTGAAAAGGGAGCTTGTATCAGGATGGCTTGGGGCACTCTTCCTAAAACACACATAGCCCTCTCCCGTCAACACTAGCATTTCCAGGGGAGGGGAACTCAGGCAGTTCTATGTTGATGGGTCTCTTGGGTACATGGTGGCTTTTCGGATTTCTCGACATCACCCATCTTGGAGTCGTGTTCCAAACCGTGGCCTCATGCCTCAGGGGAACAACTGTGTCTCTGTACCGTCTTCCTTTCCTCAGAAACAAGGCTTCCCAGTTGGATGATCGAATGTGCTGACGTGTTTCCCTTTGGGCAGATGTAACTCAGTCGCCACTTTGAAGCCTGGGGTGCAGACTTGGTCATCTTCCAGGCATCGATGTGCTCGGAGCCCCACTGCCTTCTGTACCCGTCTTCAGGCTTTGGTGGCACCCAGACTGGGCCGTGACAGGGCCCGGTAGGTATTCCAGCCCTGGGTTGGCCATCAGTTATGTGGACAGGGCGTTTCATTAAAATTTCCATTAACTGTTTTTTTTTCTTTTTTTTAAGCCAGTGAACAATTTATAGATTCATTAACTTTTTACTACACGTGTGAAGCCAGGAAGAGGGGAATAAAGGAAATGAAATATTTGGTCCACAGCATTTCACTAAAAGATGGTGGCCCTTAAATATGGAGGACAAAAGCTGGATCATTAGGCCTGGTCTGAAGAAGTGTTTAGCAAGCACTGGAATCTTCCAGAAGGATCCAGAACTGGAATATCCTGGCAAGGAACACTGCCTCTTTCCCCACCCTTTCCCTGCACACCAGGTAGCTGATCTGTCTTTTTGCTAAAAACTATTATGTTTTTTTTTTTTCTTTTTTTCACCAGGTGTCTGCCCACCCTCTGACAACAGCCTCATTCTCACAGGGGGCTCACCATGTTGGGGTGAACTCTGACCATGACCCTGAATGTATTTCCTTATGTTGAGGTGCAGTCTGACTCCCTGTAGCTCTCTAACTTTATTTCCTTTGGGGAGGGACGGCATGATGGTCGAGTGCATGGGATTTGGGGCCACACGAGCTTGGCTTCAAATACTGACCCTTTTGCTTACTAGCTGTGTGGTTTTCAACAGGTGGCTTCACCAACTCTCTGAGCCTCAGTTTTTTATCTATAAAATTACAGTAGTTGCAGGTACTCTGGGAAGTCCCAAGAAAGTGGCAGTGGTATTCTTCATCAGACAGTTAAGTGATGGGGATAAAATGAAATGGTTTACTAAAGATGCCTGACCCACATTCACTCTGCAGACTGTGCCGTGCGGTTGGACTGCTCAGCTACAAATGTTCTCAATTGAATTCCGTTCCCTAAAACAGCAAGTCACGTCTCAGGACATCAGTTTCCCCAGTTGTAAAGCAGATGAATAATCCCTAGTTAATGAGGATGTTGGATGAGATCAAACACATTTAATGAGCCTTTTAGAGTTGCTGGCACCTAATAGTATCTTAATACATAATAGCAGTCATATATCTATTGTGGTTGCAACTACACACGGTATAAAAGCTCCGCTCCCAGGGTCTACTGTATTAAAAAGGCAATAGGCTTAAAGATTACATCCCCCAAGAGCCCCTTAGAAAGAGAAAATCTCCGTGCTTAAAGGTATTCTGAGGTCGTCTTGTTCAGCTCCCAGGTGGAGCTTGAATGCCCTGAGTGTTGAACTTCCCGCTGGCCGAGCGTGTACCTAGGCCTGTCCTGAGGACAGATGGTAGATGCAGCAGGTCTTTGTAGAGTCACAGGTCTTCAATCTGGACTTAGGGTGGAACCCCAGGAAATCACCTTGTCCAGATACCTGCCTATGTGGAGGTATAGCATGAGTATTTCAGAGTATAATGGGTTTGTCCTCAAAAGTAGTAATAATGGAAAGCTAAGCAGGAAAGAGGGAAAAAAACCCATCTATTAGCGAGCCATCCAGGGCAGGTGCTTTTGGGGGTAATGTACATGTACATGTGTGTGTACTTGTTTGTTTATATAAACTTTATATAAAGTTATATATATAGTTTTGATTCTGTTCTTGTCACTTCAGTTTAGTACGTATTTTTTGCAAAGCTCTGCACCATTTGTGGGCATCCACTCTGATGGCGTCGTAAGTAGATATGTGTTTACGTTGTTGTGCATATTGGTCGTTCCCAGATTTGTATGACAAATAATGCAGTGGACATGAAAGGCGCATGAAAGGTTCTCCTCCTTTTATACAACATTCATAGAATTTGTTCCCCAAAGTGGAATCACCAGCACTGTGGGGTTGGTAAGGCGGCTGTGGCAGTGCCGAGTTAAGATGAGAGACAGGTGGCCGGGGGGTGTGAGAGCTGAGGGCACACGGCTGCCTTGGAGATTCTTGTACAGGAACACCTGTTGTCAGGGGGGTTAGGGTTGACATGGCAGTGTGACCATCGCGCTGCCTCCTCACCCTCCGTATTAGCTGAGGTTGGTAGCTGCTGACTCGTTTTATTTGTCTAAAGACTTTGGGCCAAACCGTGAGTTGGTGGCTGGAATGTTAGTTTTTGCATGCCCGGCCGGCAGAACATATTTGGTGCCCATGATTGTAGAGCCCCCTGCTGCACCCGACAAAGGAGGGATAAGGCTGACACCATGAAAGGGGCTTACGAGTTGCATTCAGGCACGTGATGTGCATGTTACTTCCACTTCCAGGCCTTTATTTTCCCTCCATACAACAGGTCTCCTGGCTCAAAAGGCTGTGTACATTGATGGGAAAGTCCTGTCATTCATATACCGAAGCCATATAGTTTTCTGTAATTTCCCAGTTTGAATTAAATGTGTGCATTTTCCATCTTCTTCTGCATTGGCTGTGAAGTTTGCTAGCTATTGGTGTTGTGATGGGTTTTTTTGAAGTAGGTTCAGTGGTGATGGAGAAATAAGGATGGTAACAGTAGAAATGATGGTTGAAAGAGAAGCAAGACGTGGGATCTTGGGTAAGAAAGGAGCTTGGTGTTTGTCGTGGAAGAAGACATAGGTGTGAATCTCAGCCCTGCCAGCAACTATGTGTCTTTTGGGCAAAGTCACTTAACCTCTGCTTCCTCCTCTCTGGAATGGAAACCTTGAGTGCTACCTTGTGAAGAATTAAATGAAGTAATGGGTATAAAAGTCCTGCCGGTCACTAAACAAACATAGGCCATTGATAGATATGGCATGTTATTCTGTCACCTCACCCCAGACTCAGGCTTCTGGGAACCTGAGTTGTCTTCCCCTTTAAGGATGCAGTGTAGACACTGTGTGCTGGGCTGTCTGGTGGGCCCTGGGAGTCCAGAGCCATGGCCCCTGCCCGGGGAAGATGGATGGTCCAGCTGGGAAGACAGGTCATAAAAAGATGACTGAGTATACCAGCTGGTTGATCAATATCGTTTGAATGGCCCAGGCAATAAGTGCTTTAAGAAAACAGGGGAGGGAGGTCGCCCCTGTGGCCTGGGAGTGCAGCCCTGAAGGAAGGGGAAGGGCCCTTTCTTTGCAGAGTGTAGTTCAATCAAGCTGTTAGCAACAACCAGGACAAAGAGGTTCTCGGGGTTGAGTCTGTGTGGGGCAGGAATGCTTCTGCATTTTATAATACTGTTCAGAAAACAACAGAAGGTTCCAGTGTACATCTGGAGTGGTCTTGATGATGGGAAGTTCTAGGGCCCTAGAAAGGGGTTTCCCCTAGCCAAGCTGTCCGCAGACTTTGGTCCCCAGAGCCTCTGCTCTGGGCAAGGGATGGTCTGGGCAAGGGATGCTTCTAGAGTGTCCTCTGGGTGCTTGAGTCTTCTTGGTTGATGGGTATTCTGTCAATAATAAGTTCTCAGCAAAATCTGGAGCTACAATATGCCGGGGGGCCACTCAAGCATCTGGCATGTTGGGGGACTGGGCTAGATGGCCAGGCTTCCATTCTTGGGCGTTCAGAGTCCTTTAAACTCTGAGCTGCAGTTCTGCTAGGCAGTGCAGAGGATGATACAGTTCATGACAAGACAGCCCTTGCCCATGAGGAAGCTGGAGTCCAGATGGGGGAGCTGGACTCAGGTGCACTCCTTGGTTAGCTGTGCAGGACAGTGTCATCAAGCACCTCTGCCCTCCTGGAGGTTCCCATCCAAGCTGATCTGTTGGTGTGACCTCAGTGACATCTCCTTTTCCCTGCTGTGCTCTGCACTGCAAGGAACTGCATTTCCTAGGGGCCCTTGGTCTCTGGCCGTCAGACAGTTCAGCCGGTCGGATGCTCAGCAGGGAGAATGGGATGAGAGAAGGAGGGAGAAGCCTGGGGTATTCCCCCCCCCCCATTCTCTGCCTCTGGTGGTGTTTTCTGTGTAGCTCCCGCCCCCTTCTGCTGGGGTCCATGCCCAGTGGGCAGCCCTGGTCATAATTTTACCTCTTGCTGGACAGCCCCAACTTTCTCATCACACCATTTCTTCCCTTTTATCTTTGCAGGCCTATAGGTGGTAGCAGAAGCTTCCTCATAGGCGAATCCCTGGTTGCCTCTCTGTCTCATGTTTGGCTTTTCAGGTTTCATCACCTGTACTCTCAGATCCCTGTATTAAATTGTCTCTATTTAAAAGACCTAGAGTGACTTCTGTTTTTTCTGGCCTAGGCCCTGAAGGACATTCCCAAATCAGACCCCTTAGAGTGTTTGGCTGTTACTACCCTGAATAATCCTGTGGAAGCCATTGAAAGCTTATGGCTGCCCTAATGAATTCAGGGCACCAGATTTTCTTTCCCCCTTGCAAAGAAAACAAAATTGTAGAATAATTTCAAAATAGTCTGGCTGTCTTGATTTCTCAGCAGGCGCCCATTGGGATGTGTTAAGTTTCTTCCTGGGCCTCTCATTTTGTAGGAAAATGAGTGACTCCTTCCTATCTAACTATGAGAGGAACTTTTGATTTTGAAAAAATTTATGCAGTTGTTCTCCCCCTCCCCCTATTTGCCTGGGCTGTTGATCTTGTGATATATTTATAGAGATTGTGGTTGGCTGACCAAGAGTTATTTTGCAACAGGAATTTGTAAGATTTCTACTTTGAGCATGTGTTCCAGACTTTTCTTTCTTTAAAAAAAAAAAAAAACAAAAAAAAACTTTCTTAGAACATCTACTTTGCCCTTCTGTAATTATTTCTCTTTCGCAACAAAAGTAAGCCCTGTGCTTTAAGCATATTTTTTTCTGTGTATATATATCTTTTGTCTCTGGTCTTCTCTCTTCTTTGATGTCTCTTTTTACTCTAAATTTTAAAAGGCCACAGCCTCTTCCTTTGTGCAAGAATGTTTTTGCAAGGGAGAACTTGGGAAGAAGAGTGCTTTAGGGCTCAGGAACATCAGTGTCTCTGTCTGTAAAAGGAAGGTGTTGGACTAGATTGGAGAGGGCATGTGTGCTACCATGCCTAACTTTACCATACTCACTGCAGACATCAATAATCAATCACAGCACTCTTTCTAGCTGTGCTTTGATGTAGCCCCAAAATCCTTCTTAATACATTTTCCCAGGCAGCCACTACTAATTGCTTAGAATAGGCCCTTCTTGGACTGGATGATTACGTAGACCCCATTCACCACCATGGTTCTCTAAGTATTGGCACTACAATTCTTTTATGTTTTAAGCCAATGGACCTTTATTAAGCCCTAACCCTGGGTACTGTGTAGCCATGGAGGAGCTCAAAAATGCGAGCCACCCTCATGGAACCTCCAGTTTGGTTGGGAGCAAGTTTGCAAAGAGTGGTGATGTTCTCAGGTGTGCTCAGGCACATCCTTGGGCTCTAGGATGTTGTCCTTGTGGCTAGGGAAGACTTCCTGGAGGTGCTTAGAGTAGACTGTATTCTGGGCAATGAGACAGCATGTTTCTAAATTAAGAGGGTCCTGAGAGTCCATCTGGCCAAAATTCTCTAATTTATAGCTAGGGAAACTGAGGCTCAGAGGAAAAAGGGGATTTGCCTGAATTTCAATAAATGATTAATTATATAGCTAACATTGATAAATCATTGTAATAAAAGATAACTATATAGGGAATATTTATGTAGCAGTTACTGTGCACTAGGCATTGTTCTGAGAGCTTTATGTATATTAACTGATTTGGAGCCCGGTAACTTGTGAGGTGAGTACTGTTATCATCCCAACATGACAGATGAGGAAACTGAGTCACAGAGATTACCCATTGTAAGTGGTGGTGCCAGGATTTGAACCCAGCCCATCTGCCTCCAGCTTCTATGTGGGGAACTTCCATGCCAGGTAAATTGAGTTGGAGTGATCAGAATAGGTTTGGCTTTTCTTTTTTTAACGTATTAATTTTACTTACCACCATCAGTGTGATCATAATGACATCATCCAGATCTGTGGCTCGTGGAGTATGTTAGCACTGGCTGAGGTTTCAGACTTCTTATCATTTCATCCACCCAGCATCCATGTGATGGGGGGGGCATATCTCCATTTTACATGGTAGGAAACTGAGGTTCAAAGATGTGATGTGACTTGAGCAAGACCACAGAGCTGCTTAGTGGCCCAGGCAGAATTTGAATCTGGGTCTGCCTGGCTCCAGATATCAGAGTTGGAAGGTTTCTCGGAGACTGTCAGTCCCGGAGGGCCAGAAACTCTCTCTCTCCCAGCAAGTCAGAGAAGGCCTGGGGCTTGTGTGGGTCTCCAGGAGCCTGACGCTCTTGGTCCTTCCTAGTGAAGGGCTCGGCCATTGCAAAGGAGGCTCGAGCCTTCGGTTCCCTCCAGGAAATCTGAGGGGAGCCTCTTCCCCTGCTGCCTTACTTAAAAATACCTAAGAGGGCAACTTAAAACCCAGTCACCCAATTTTGAGTTCACCCCATTTGGAGTTTGCGACCCTTTGTATTTATAATGTTTTCTTCCCCATGGAGCAAAAAAGTTTTCTTTTCTTTTCTTTTTTTTTTTTTTTTTTTTTTTGTGAACTCCCCCTGCCCCCACTTCCTGCTGATCTGAAGTGAATATTTATCACATATTTAATGAGTAATCTGAGTCTTGGCTTGGTGAGGCTGTACCAGGACATGGTTTATGGCTGATCTGGTTTTAACTCGCTCCAGGCGGTTTTCCCTGGAGTTTTCTGTAAAATCATAAACCTGGAGAGAGAATTTTTGCGGAATCCAGTCACATGACTTGCTCTTTTGTAAATCGAGAGATTAGCTGTGTGACTCTGAAGAACTGAGATGCATTTCTTTTTTTCAAAAGAAAGCAGGCAGAGCAGCATTTATGCACCTGGAGGAGCGTGTCCACTCTGAGAGACAGGGAAAGTCACTCTCCAAGGTCACTCGCCCTGCTGGTCTTGCAGGCAGGTCTTGCGGAGGGTTTGAACCTGTGGACTTGGACTAGGAGCAGGTGGGTTGGAGTTCTGGCTGAACTTCTCTATGATGGTCCCTGCACTCGGCGTGCCTCTGAGTGCTCCCCTGGACACAGGGAGCTGGTGAGGTCCCCACCTCTTTGGGTCATTGAGGACATTAAATGAGATGGTGCGGGCCACGCCCTGAGCCAGGGCTGGCATACAGGAGGGGCTCAGTAGATGCCGGCAGCTCCTGGATTGCTGGTATTAACATTATCCTCATTTGACGCCCTTTATGCTGAATTCATAATCCTCGCTGGCACTGCGTAGCTGGGAAGGCCCCGCTCCAAGCATGACTGCTCTCATTTTACCCTCACAACTAGGATCACCCCCACTTTACGGGGAAAGGAACTAAGGTCCTGAGAGGTCATCACTTGTCTAAGGTCCTACTAGCAAGTGGCACAGCCTGTGCCTGGGCTAACTCCCAGTGACAGCCACCCCTGTGTTTCCTGCTGGCTTCTTTCTTCCTGGTGTAGTCCTGGAGCCTGAGGGCGTTTTGACTGCTGGTCCCCAGGAGGGAGACCCGGCCTCACCCTGCCTTAGCTCAGACCTCAGCTGACACTCCCTGGACTGACATCAGCCGCTTACATGGCCTCAGTGCCTGCTGTTACCACCCCTGCCAGCAGCCCTTTTGAAAACAGGCTTCTGACTGTTACTCCCCTGCCTGAAGCCCCTGATTGCAAGTGAAGGGGATAGGGAGTTCCTTACCATCTCTGAGAAGCTCTTTTGTACATGTAAAATGATTTCAATATTAAAAGGTAAAAACAACAACAACAACAAAAAACCAAACGCAACACCTCACTGGGCCTGATCCTGGATAAACCTCATCTTTTTGAAGCAGAATTTAGAACCGTCTCTGACCCAGGCCAGCTGGGGGGATAGAATGAACACACGTGAAACAACCAGAGGCTGTCGTAGCACCCTTTGGGCTCACGTGGGCCCAGCCATGGTGGCGCTGGTGCCCTGGATGGGAACCAGGCTGTGTTGTGGCTGGGGAGCCCCCGTGGCCGAGCAGGGGAAGCTGCTCCCCACTTCTCTGAATCCAGGATCCCCCCCTTCTTTAAAGTTTGTGACCCAGGCCCCAGGTTTGCAGGTGAGTTTTCCTTTTACTTCCATCCCTCCCAGGTGCCCGGTCTGTGCGTGGAGGAGACCAGGCGCTCTGCACACAGTCTAAGACTGGCAGAGGCTTCTCAACAGCTGCGGCAGTTTATTCTAAACAACAACAACAACAATAAAAATACCTGTGCCATTCACTGAGCGTCACGCTGGGTGTTTTCCCCCACGTTATCCCTGTTGATCCTTGCCGCTCCCAATAGCTCTCAGTCCTGGAGCTTTCTCTCCTCCTCCGCCTTCCCCAGACGCCATCCTCTCTTCCCTGGAAGAGGACAGTGGCCTCTTGGATGGCTACTGTGGCCAGTCTGCGCACTGCAGCCAGCAGTTGCTTTAAGGGTGTGCATGCCTTCCCGGGCTGCCATAGCCTCCCTTAGCCTAACTTACAGGTACCCGCTGATTCCTGACTGTTGGTGATGGTGACAGAGACAGTGACGATGATGACAGTACCAAGGTCTGGATGCCGTCTGCATGGCTGCCCACTAGAGAGAGGAGAAGAACCCACCTGTACCTGGAAACTCGCAGGAAGCAGACTAGGCCTGTGCTGGTTTCATGCCGAGGAAGCCTGATTTATGTCTTGACACTTGACCTCAGAGAGCAAGGGCTATTGGGGAGGGTGGAAGGGCTTTGGAACCGAGAGGGATGACGAACTTGGTCATTTCCCCTAGCTTTTCCCTGCAGTTGGAAACTTAGCCTCTGGGGCCTCCCTCAGAGAGGCTGCCTGGACCTGGTTTGGGGACGGTCCCTCATTTCTGTTCCGTGGAGCACTGTGGCCAGCCCACAGTAAAATAAAAGGCAGGGGAGGGAAATCAAACCACTGTTCTTCCCCCGCAGAGCTGGAAGCTGCCAAGTCGAGATGGAGGTGTGAGCTCTGGCCTGAGGGTCGAGTCGGGAACTCCCTGCGTGAGCCTGGGCATGTTGGGTGGGCTGGTCCACCCTCCAGCGGTGAAGCCGGGAGGCTGCAGCCCAGCCAGGTTCTGCGGCCCAGGTCCCCCAGCTGGACAAGGTGGCACCCTTCTCCTCGCTGCCCTGCACAAGGTGGGCGTTGCTCCCTGGCACCCAGCCCGTGTTAGCTTCACTTGCATCTAGATTTTATGTCCCTCCCATTGAGGGTGAGTTCTGTGCTCCCTGTTCCAGGGTGCTGTAGTCTGTTCCTGCTGTCAAAGATGCTCAGGAACCTGGACCTTTTTCTTTGAGCACATGTTTCAGTTGGTAATTATACATTGATAGCTTGAAGTCACTAAGTAGTCACCACCTGTCCTGTCCACTGTTTTGTTCCCCAGTGACTTTCCTGGGGCCCAGCACATAGTAGGCACTTACTTAGGCAATAAGTGATACTGGAGTGAATGAATGAGGAGCCATGTCTGATTCATCTTAGTGTCAGTCCTCCTTAAGGACTAAATTTATTACTGTTTATGGAAAAATGGCACACACCCACGTGAGCTGCAGTTCTTTTGGCCCAGGGGTCTTCTCTGGCAGCCTCTACCCACCCCTCATGCCTGGAACCCAGGGCAGTCAGTGGCTTTGAGTAGCTGTGTTCAGTTGGGAAAGAAAACACAAAATTAAATACCAAACACCATGTGTTAGAAATGTATCACTGAATACGATCTAAGAGGCAAGGTCTAATTAGAGAATTCATCATATACTCAGTTTCCTGGGAACAGGATCCTCTTTATAACTTGCAACGCTATTGTTCAGCATTGGCTCGGTCACCCTTAAATGGTGTTTTTCAGGAACACCTGGTAAATAAGCGCTGGAACTGCCTGTGCCCGAGTTGGGGCACAGCAGTTAGATAGGAAAACTGTCCATGCACATTGTTTGGGGCCAGGTTTGATTCTTTGGTCCCAGAGACAAAGGGCAGGTGTGTGGAGGAAATGGCCATGGACTTGGGGTGAGAAGACGTGTGAGCCCTGGCCAAGCCACTGGCCAGATCTGTGACCTTGGGCAGGTCAGTTGGCCCCTTTGGGTGCTTGGTTAATTCTTGGTCATAGAAGGATCCTGCTAGACTTCAGTGTCTCTGTGGGCGGATCTCCTTCATGGAACCATCTGTAACGTTCTGGGCCCACAGTTAATATTCTCATGTACTGGAGTGATGTGGTTCTGTTTTTCTTGGAGCTAAGGCCCAGGATTTTTGGAATCTTCTAGACTCTCTCCTACCCTACATTCGATTTTATCGGCAAGTCCAGTTGGTTCTGCCTTCCAGTATGTTCGGAGCCCCATCCTTCCCCACTCCTGGACTGCTGCAGTAGCCTGACTGGCCTCCTGCTTCCACCTCAGCCTCATGGTCTATTTTCAACACAGCAGTCAGAACGATCTTGTTAAAATGGAAGTCAAATTATGTCACTTTGCCGAAACGTTCCAGTGGCTCCCCAGAGGAAAAGCCAAGGCTGTTCAGCTGCCCGCCGGGCCCTGCACAAGCCGACCTCTTACTACTACTCCTCTGGTCCTCACTCACCCCACCCCAGATACGCTAGCACGCTTGCTGTTTGCTCCTGCCCGGAGGGCTTGGCCCTGGCTGTTCACTGTTCCCCTGACGCCACAGGGCCAGCTCTCTCACCCCCCAGTGTTCTCCCACTGGTGCCTGCCCTGGCCACCCTATTTAAAACTGCAACCTGCGGCTCCTCCCTTGTCCCCAGCGTGCCTGACCACCCCTGTCCTTCTCTGTCCCACCACTCCCATAGAACTGGCCACTTCAAGCATGCTGTATGTTTTAACTTTTTATCACCCCTACTGTTACCGTCTCCCCCCAGTTGAATGTGTATCCCAACTGCCTAGAACAGTGCCTGGCTCAGTTCATAGAAGGAGCTCCATGAATCTGTGTTGCATGAGCCAGTGACGTCTCCTTACTTGAATCTTGTGTGTCCAGGTTACACAAAGTTAGACGCTGAATTTTAGGGATCCACTGGCTGTTGGAAGGGGAAAAGAGCTACGAATGAAGCTTGAGTTGTTTCATACCCACCGACCTTCACACGTGTTTGGGGACGGTGCCTCCTGCGGGCCTCCAGGTTGGACGCACTTTGTTGCCCCCACCGCTGAGGTTGCACATCTTCCTGCAGGGTTAGTTGTACCAGTTGGTCACTAAAAACAATTTTTATATTTGGATTAGCATACATATATATGGAAGATACATGTCTTTTGGTGTAATATGCATTTGGTACTTGTGAATATAACAGTCAAATGAATTGGTAAGAATTCGTAAACTAATAAGACTTCAAAAGGCATTTGAGCCCACAGAGAACTTCCCTTTTCTCTCCGGGTTCACGTTCATGCTTCCCCTTCATTGCCCCCAGTGGATTTGAGGCTGTGCACCCAGAGCCCAGCACAGTGCTTGACACATAGTAGGCTTTCAAGAAATACCTGCTGAGTGAATAAAGCAGCGATTGATTTTTTAAGACCAATAAATACATTTCATACAAGTATAATTGCCAAGAGCATTCATCATTCATCTAAGCAACCTCATTATCAGTATTTCCTGAGAAATAATCATAAAATTAACAGATTCAACCGTCTTTGCTGAATATTTGCCCCTTGCCAGACCCTGAGCTGGGTGCAGGAGACATGGTCAGATAGGGATGTGGTCTTTGCCCAGGGCGGGGGACAGTGCACAGCCTGCCTGGGTGGTGACAGTCACTCCAGGAGCTGTGGTCCCAGTCCCATATTGTTGGTGGGAGGCACCGATGGCTCTGTGTTAGCCATGTTGGTAGAACAATGAACAGGGACAAATTAAATCTAGTGGGGGGGGAGGGAGGAGCCATTCAATTCTCCAGAGAGGAAGAAATTTGTGAGTTGCAGTGGGGGAGGGAAAAGGCAAGATCCTAATTATACTACCTCGGAAATGCGCTGTGGCAGGTCCGTTCTGGGCTTGGACTGGCTGAGGCGCCATCTTGGAAATGCCCCCTCCAAGATGGTGGCCCCCTCCGTCCTCCCAGAGCTGGGGGGCCCCCTTAGCCCCCACATGTGTGGCGGCACCTCAGCCTCCCTGAGCCTCTGGCTCGGCTCTTATCTAAGAAAGGCATTTCATTCTTCGAGATCAGGCAGCTAGGACCCAAGGAGCTGTTTTTCCTCCATTGTGCAAGCATGACAAATCATTAATTTTTGATTGATTTGCTTAGAATTATGGGCGCCCCAGCATTCTTTCCGCCGCTGAACAGCTGTATAACAAATGAATATATCAGTGTGCACAAAAGATTGGAGATCTAAGAGAAGCAATTACATTGGCCACCCTCCCCCACCCTCACCCCTTCCCGGGCAATGAAGGGAGGAAATTTTTACCAGAAATTCCTCAAGTGGCTTTTTTTTTTTAAAAAAAATGCCTTTTTATAATTGAATTAAATCTTTATCTCTTCATCTTTTGCAGCACGTTTCCAAACACACACCGGTTCCCCCATGCGCTTGGGTTTTCTACCCATCCAGGAGGAATCTTTAATAATGAAATTTCAACTTGTGAATTAAAACCAAAATGAGAAAAAGGAAAAAAAGAAAAGAGCAAATTCCACCCCACCTTTTTGCCTTTTTTTTTTTTTTGGTCGCTGCTATTCCTTTAAGATTTTGGAACCGTACCAGTGCACTAAATGTGACCTCCATAACTTTTAAATTAAGAATTTATGCTGGCTTGAAATTTATGAAATATTTCAGCATGAAAGAAAGCCTTTTTCCCTCAGGAAAATTGAGCAATAAATCACAGCACTGTGGATTTACTGCCCTAGAGCCAGCGAGAGATAGGATTTTTTTTTTTTTTTGCTTCATTCTGAAAAAAAAAAAAATGTAATCATATAAGACAGCTTAGCTGCTATCCTCCCACTCTCTAGAATTTTTAATTTCAGCTGTTTCTGCTTGGATTTATTTCCAATATTCCTGCTCGGCTTTTCAATTTCCTCAGTTATTAAATTTTAATTCAGTGCATTAGCATTTAAATTAAAAAAGGGTTTATTTTATCGAAATCGTTGGCCAGCCCCCATCCTGGAGCACACGAATTGCCTGTTTCTGCCATTTGCACAAAATGTGAAATGCAGCTAATGTCTTACAACTTACATTTGCACAAATTTAGAAATAAAATTTCTGGGTTTGGAATAATATTTTCTTTCCAAGAAAACCCTTAATAAGAGAATGGAAAGGAACAACTTCACATTCATTTGGGAGGGAAGAGGAGGGTCAAATGAAACCAAAAATAGCCTCGCCCAGGTCCTGAGGGGAAGCTGGTGAATGAGGAACGGGTGGGGCTGGAAAAGGGGGGCGGGTACCCTTGTGGGGGGCTGGAGGGCTTGGATACCTTCACTGCAGCTGTGTAGGAGTAGAAGGAGGGTCTCCCTTGGGCCCTCCTTATTTCATTGGCCATAAAATGGTCTGGTTAAGTTTGGGGTCAGCCCAACACTGGGACAGAGATAGATGGGAGGGGACAGATGATCTGACTTAACCCCCTGTCCCCAACCCCATTTTGCCTATGGAGAACCTCAGGTCCAGAGAGAGGAGACCCAGACAGAGCTAGGGCAAGAAGCTACATCCTTGAGGAGCACACGGTCCAGGGGCAGAAGACAGTGGTACAACAGCACCTAGGGTAGGGGTTTCCACTACTTAAGCAATTGCCGTGTGGCATGGGCTTAGTACTTTACTTACATGGTTGTATTCAGCATCATTCTGACCGGACCGTTAGATAAGATCGCAGGGCTGGGGCGGTCTGTTGGACATGTGTGAGATGCCAGCCTGTAGCATGGGATTCTTGGCAGGCTCTGGGGCAGAAGGCCCAAGGTCCATTCTAGGCTGGCTCTGCGACTTGTTCCTCTGCTGTATAATCTTGTACATGTCATTGTGTTTTTCTGTTCCTCAGTTTCCTAGACCTAGTAAATGGTGGCCTCTATAACCATATCTAGGGTTGTTAGTGTGGGCTTGGCTGTAATAATTATAATAATCACTAAGTACTTTTGCATAAGTCACCTTATTTAAGTTGTCATGTTCAAGACTCCCCCCAGTCCGGTGAGGTAGGTCCTAGGATTTGCGTCTGGCCGTTTTGTAGATGAGGAAACTGAGGCCTTAGGAATACAGATGACTTGCTGAAGTTCACACAGCTAGAAAACAGCAAATCCAGGACTCGAACTCAGACTGTCTGACCTAAACCCTGTGCTCTTAAGCTGAGGTTCAAGTTGAGAATGAGGTCAGCTTACACCAGGAAAGGGTAAGTTTGTGGTTTAGGTTGAATCGTACGAAATGGATGATATTAGACCCTCTTGGCCCTGCAAAGTGGCGACATCAGAGGTTCGGTTTAATCCACACCGAGGAGATGGCTCTAATACATTTGTGGGGACACAGACCAAGCCAGCCTGGTGTCATAGGGGTCTCTGCCCTGGGAGTTGGTCCCAGCACTTTGGGCTTTGGCCCTGTCATAAGACACCATGAGTGCCTGTGCTGTGACACTGACAGGTGTGTTCCGAGCATTTCCCACTGAGTCGTCCGTCAATACCCAGTGAGACACCCTCATCCGCCCAGAGCATCCCACATCTGCCCAGGTAGAGCACCTTCCTCCCGTCACCCCCAGTACCCCAGCCACCACCCTAGGCTCTGCAAAGGGATTTGTGTCTGTAACTCTTCGGATATTTTTAGCATTTTGTCTTTGTTTTATGAAAATGAGTGGAAAACAGAAAGGGGTGCAGCTACCAGTGATACAAAGCTGAAGTATCACCCACTCGAAAAAGAGAAACAAAGGTGGAGATTATCAGGTGTGCTGAAAACGGGGGATCTTTCCCCCACTCTGTCACATGTTCGCTGCACTTGAGCTGGTCAACTCTGTGTGAAATGGTGAAGGAAAAGGACAAAAAAGACAACTTAAAAAGTGTGTACGAAATGCTAAAAATACACACCCAGAATTAAGTCTGGAAGGTGGAGAGATCATTTGGGATTTTGCGATTTTTTTAAAGCTCTCTGGGGCAGCAGAATTTCCACCCCCACCACTTCTGCTTGTGATGCGAACATGAGAACAACTTCTGCCCGTTCGCTTTGCCTGGTTTTCAGGAATGCAAGATGTCGGGAAGGCTGCAGTTGGGCTGTTCTTTGCCTCTCAGTGAGATGATATGCAAACTGTTTTCCGCTTTCTAGTTTCCCGTTGAAATAATACATCGGCATCCCATTAATTTCTCCCTCCCAGGCTTCACATTTCTCCCTCCTTATTTGTCTTTAACCTTTCCATTCCCCTCGTGTGGGCATGGGGGACCGTGTGGTGTCACCCCGTTTCCCGATTGGCTCTCCTGAATGTGAGCAGGAGATAAGATATTCCAGAGCTGAGGAAGGTGGGCTTTGGAGTGACCCAGACCACAGCTGGCAACAGTGGGACTTTGCATAAATAACTTAAGTTCTTTGACCTTCAGTGTTCTTAATCTGTAAAATGGGGATATTGTGTGTGTGTGGGGGGGGACCTATGGGAAGGATTAAATAAGACAAGGCATTAATGTCCCTACACTCATGGCTGATGGGACGTTCTCTGGGTGAGCATGTATGGATACCCATGGGGGCAAAACAGGTGCTGAGCGTAAGGCGAGAGGGAGAGGTGTGGACTTTGGAGAACCAGGTGTGTCAGCTCTAGCTGCCTGTCACCATGTGTGACTGGGTGTCACTGGGTTATCCAATGTTTTAAGAGAAGCTGGAAACCTTGCCTTTTTGTGGCACGATCCTTTTATTTTCCCATGTTGCCGATTTGTTCGAATCAAAGCCTGCCATCTGATTTTGCCAGTTTGCAACTTCTCGTAAGCACTCATCAAAAGGTAGCTAGCTGCTGTTTTTATTTTAGATCCTCAGTCCTTCATTAGAAATCCTGAAATTTGAAAGGTGTGAAAACCGAAAGATGTTTCGTAACTTGAGGAGTCAGCCGAACTTGACCTGCAGGGAGACTGTTGTCGTATATCCCAAGTGGGGTTACCTGGGCACGCCTCTCGCCACAGACTATCAAAGCGCTTGATTACCGGAGGTTCCGCAATCCCCACCAGGGTTGTTTCAAAATATAGGACATATGTAATACATTGCCTTTCTAAAACTGGAAGAACTCTGTATTTGGAAACACACGTGCACCTGCCTGTCAGACCCCCATTATCCTATGATTCTTACTATAAATGTTTGGACAAAGCTAGGGAACGCATCTTCAGCCAGTGGTGGGGGGGGGGGATCTAGGCATTGCTCCTGTGACTGTGGCTTCCTTTGGCCTCTGCACCGAGGTCCCCCTGATACCGGCCCACAAGCCAGGACCCCAGGTGTTTCTTTTCATGAGACTTCAGGCTGCTCCCCCGGCACTCAGGACCTCAGTCTCTTCATCTGAACCAGAATTTTATGATTTCTGGAAATTTCATTTGGTCAGCCTTCTCTCCCCCTCCCCCCATGGCCAAATAAAAGAGATTAAGACCCAGCTCTCTCTTGCCTTCCCCTGCTCATAGGGTTGGGGGACAGAATATTTTAACATAATAGGATTTTTCCCCTCCGGTTGGTAGGAATAAATCTGCAGCTACTGTTTTATTGGAAATCCCAGCTGAAAATAAAAATGGTGCAATTCAATCTCAGATTTAGCTGGTTACTTACTTTTCACTGAGTCCCCAGGGCTCTGTGGTTGCTGGGTTTGTGTTGGCAGTGGGTGATCAGCCGGATTTAAAGAGCCAAGCAAATGGGGTTGGGGGAGGTGTCCTGACTCCCTCTTACCACTGGGGGCAGGTTTTTCCAGCCTGGAGGCATGGGGCAGGGGGCTGTGGGCGACCCACCCCTCTGTCTGAAGGTTGGTGTTCAGCAGGAGTGTGGTGGGGTGGCAGCGGGTGGAATCTGTGCGTCCTCTGCCTTGGCTGATGCAGGTGTTTTGGGTTTCTTTTGCAGGCTGACGGAGCCAGTGCAGCTGGAAGGAAAAGCACTGCAAGCAGGTACACCTCCCACCCCAGCTTGTGTCCCCCTTCCCATCCCAGGTCTTCACGACTAGCAGCCACCACTCTCTGGTCCTCACCTTCCACCTGAAAGGACGAATGGGCCAGGCCAGCGCTCTTTGCTGAGAAGTGTCCACACTTCCCCTGGGGATGTGAAGTCGTGGGCAGTGTTTTCCATGTGCACTGTGTAGGTGCCTGTGACCAGAGTCCAAGGATGACTCACTTCTGAACTGGCCATTGGCTGTTCAAGTTGGGAGAAGGCAATTTGGGGGGAAGGCAGGAAGACCTGGGCTTGAATTTCAGCTGGGCTGCCACATGGTGAACTCCAGAGGGAGCCAGTCCCATCCTTGCCTGGAATTCACTGGTCCATGTGCTTGGGTTGTGAGCTCCTCTCCTGGAAACAGTCACTCCAGAGCAGGGGATGAGATACTCTGATTAGCCAGACCAGGGGACTGTCCTCACCCTTGGAGCTGGTGTGAGATGGGAGAGGGGAGGTCCCCGCAGGAAAGCTGGGCTGTTGTTACCAAAACGGATGAAAGAGATACCAGATAGGATGTCATCACAGGTGGCGCAAGTGGGTACTTGGTAAATGTTAGCACTGATGCTGCTGCTGCTGTTCCATTGGGTGGAGCAGAGCTGGAGTGGCCTCGTGACCCTTATGTGGGGCATTGGAGGTGGGAAGAAGGCAAGGGACAGGCGTGAGAGACGACTCCCCAGAGCATGTACATAAAATCTGGAATAGGCCCTAGGGGTCACCTATTAGGGTTGAGGGTGACATTACAAATGCCAAGCACAAGAATTTGCCCTTTAGCTTATGGAACACTAGCTCTTTAAAATGTTAATAGCTTTGGGGGGCTGGGGAAGGAAAAGGATTCTTTCTGTGGCCGAATAAGTTCAGAGGACAGTGGGTTAAACAAAGTCAAACAGGTCCCTTTGCCATGGGACTTTTAATGTACTAATGTGCACGCTTGAGAACATCGAAGAGGGAGATGAGAATGTCATGCTTCTCATCCTTCTTAACCTTGGGACCCTTTTATTGACGTTCATTCCATTGAGCGAGTGTTCCTTGGAGCACACTTTGGGAAACTATGAAGAGGTGTTGAAGTTCCTTGAACAGAAGAGTCACGTGCATGGCTTTGTGTTTCAGGAAGAACCCATCAGCCATTTGTCGAGTGGTTTGGAGGCAGGTGGGACGCAGGCCATGGCACCAGGCTGGAGGTCCCTGAGACCCTGTAAGGCCTGGCAAATATTTTATGCTTTGCAGCCATACAGTCTCTGTGGCAGTTCCTCAGCTCAGCCAGTGTGCTGCTGAAATAGCCATAGGTGATGCATAAATATGTCTGTAAATGACTGTTGTTTGCCAGCCCCCAGTCTACCCTAGCTCCTGCCTGAGAGCCTTTGCAGCTGCTGTTCCCTGTGCCTGGAATGTTCTTTCTCTGGTTTTCCTGTGATTAGTGCCCTGTCGTCTTTTGGGTCAAGATTCAGTCATCCCCTTGGAGGAGCTTTCCCTGACTCCCTGTTCAGGGGACCCACCACCCCAGTCTGTGGCCGGTGGCCTTTCTAGCCTGTTTGTGCTGTTTCATGATTCCATTTATTTCTGTACCTTTTTCCCTGTCCCCCTTGGAGTGCCCGCTCCATAGGGCGGGACCGCGTCTGTCTCGTTGGCTGCTGTGGGCCGGGCCCCTAGCAGGCAGGCTGCACATGTCCACGGGATGGGTGCGCTGGATGAGAGGGCAGGTGTGGGAGTGATGGAGGGGCAGGGAGTGTGGGCTGGGATGGAGCGGGAAGAGCCCAGACGGAGGTGAGACGGTGGCCGTGGGCCTGTGGGTATTGGCAGTGACCCCGTGGCTGGCAGCTGCCCAGCCTCTTGCATTTTTCTCTTGGGCCCCTGGTAGTGGAATTCTCTGTAAGAACTGTGTATGAGGCTGTGGCGGTCCTCAGACTGGTGGTGTCGGGAAGCATTGCTTGGATCAGAACATTAGGACTGGAAGGGGCCTTGGGGTTTGTCTAGTTCACCCTCTCATTGTACAGTGGGGAGATCGAGGCCTTTGGGAGGAAGGGCTGTGCTCAGGGTCACGTGATGAGTGAGTGGCTACGTCAGGCCTTGAACCTACCAAAGCCACTTCCTTCTTCACTCAAGAGATGCTGTGCCCCAGTGAGGTCCCGCAGCCTCTCCCACCTTCCTTCCATGTTTACCGAGCACCTGCTGTGGCAGCCCAGTGCTGTGTGCTATGGGTCAGATGGATTCAATGCTAATTTATTCATCCAGCAGACATTTGAGGGTCTTCTGCTTGGCACGCACCGTTCTAAGTGTTGGGTCTGCAAAGTTCCAGCCACCCCTCATCACTTTCGTGGGGATGTGGTTCCTTCTTTCACTCTCCCATGCACGGATCTCTCCCTCACCTGCATCTCCGCCTGGCGATCGTAGCCAGAGGACAGCAGGCAGGTTTCCCTGTGGTGGTCGTGGCTGCCTGAAGCTCCAAATTGAGTATTATCAGCATAAGGCTGCAGTCAGTGGGAGAAGAGTGCTGCGGTTGATTAGAGATGCCTTCCTGGTCAGGGTAATGGGTGGGTGGCATGTGTGCCATCGATTCCTCTCCCTGGCTGGCCTAGGCTCTCCAGCATGCATGCTCAGTGACTGAGCCCTGGTGTTGGTACCAGAATATGCACCAGGGAGGGCCGGCCCAAACCTCAGGGTCATGTGTGACTTGAGATGTAAAGACAAACTTTCTAATAATAATAGCTACCATTTAGTCAGCACTTCCTTGTCAGGCTCTGAGCTAAGTGATTTGTGTGTATTAATATTTATCAGTTGTATGCAATCTTTATAACAACCCCACAAGGAGGTACTATTGTTATTCTCACTTCACAGACTGGGAAGCCAAGGCACAGAGAGGGTCATGAGCCTAAGGCTGCCTAACCGGAAGTAAGCAGCAGAGCCAGGGTGCCCACCCAGCTCTGACTTCTGTGGCTTGTGCTCTCAGCCACTGCGCCCTCCTGCTGCTTGGTGGAAATAGATCAGTTGGTGCATGTTACAGGAGCCCGTTTGGGGCCGGGGACCATGTGGTCAGCTGGGAGCCTGTCAAGAAGGCAGGACTCTGGTGGAGCTCACAGGCAGGTTGATACTAGTTCTGTGTTTCAAACTCATCCTTTGAAAGGCCAACATAATATCACTTTACAGTGACGGGATGTTCATTCTGAGAAGTGAATTGTGCATTAAACATTAAGACAACGTGAGCAGCCTTACCCATAACCACTGGTGAATTTGCCCCTGGCCAGGTGGGGCTTGGAAGAGTAGATGCTTTGCTCATTTAGTCCCTGTTACAGAGGGAGAAATGAAGGCCCTAACATTTCCCCAAAGACAGAATTAGGCTCCATAGCCCTAGGCAGGAATGACCTTGAAGGACCCCCAACCCTGACATGGGCCTCACCCCCAGCTCTGCCCGGGGACACTCTGTTACTGCACCAGGGTCTGCTTTCATCCCAGCGCCTTCCTCTTGGCCTGGAACACGTAATTTTGTTATTTCTCCAGAGGGCCTCTGGCTAAACCCCAACATCAACAGCATGGGCTGCTAAGGAATTAGTGTTAAATTGAGGGGGACAAGGAGAGGTGGTGTTTCTGATTTAAGGAACAACCGAATGTCGAATGTGGTTTGGTTTACTTCCTTGTAACCCAACCTGGGTGGATTTTATAAGAGCAGTGATCCCAGCACTTGAGGTTAATCCTGACCTGGTGCGCAGGCTACAAATCCACGTAGCACGACTGCAGCCGAGCCTCACTTATTCCAAGGGTTTGGGGGCTGTAGGGCCTTAACTGTGCGTTCTACAGGAAACACAGTTTTTATAATTAAGTAAATGCAGTTATGGGCTTGCAGTAATGAAGAATGATGCCTGTTTTTGTGCGCTGAAGGTTTTCTGAGCTGGAAGGACTCTGTAGATAATCTAGTCCAACCCTCTCCTTTTGGAAACAAGGAAACCGGGTATAGAATAGTTTAAGGACTCATTTCTTTGTTGTACAAACTCTTTACCTAGGAAGTGACCAGAATCTTTTAGACAGGGAGGTTGGGTCGGGGAGAAGATGATAAAGCCAAGTCTCATTCATTCATTCCACAAATATTTACTGAGTGCCTACTAAGTGCTGGGCACTGTCCTAGGTGCTGGAGATACAGCAGTAAACAAAACAGAAATCCCTGCCTTTATAGAGCTGATGTTCCAGTTGGAGTGGTACAGTCGTAATAAAAGCTTAAAATACATGCTTGTTAGATGGTAACGAATTCTATGGGAGGAGAAGCTGAGCAGGAGATGGGGAGGGCTGGAGAGGGTAATTTGAGTGGTCAGGAAAGGCATCGTTGGGAAGGCGACTCCTGAACAAGGAGCTCAGGGGCCATTTGGGGGAGACACGTCCCAGGCAGAGAGATCAGCAGGTGCAAAGGCCCTGGAGCTGGGGCAGCAGTCAGGAGGCCGGTGTGGCCACGTCGGCCATTAGAGACCGTTATCAGGACTTTGGCCCTCACTCTGTGTGAGATCAGGAGCCACTGGGGAGTTTAAGCAGAGAAATGACACGACATGATTTGCTTTTAAAAGGATCATTGTGGCTGCCAGTAGGAGAATGAGCAATGGCGGTGGGGGTGGGGGGTTGGATGTTACAAGAGATGGTTCTGAGGGTTGTGGACAGATAGGACCTTAGAAAGCAGGCTTAGCAGTGACTTTCTGAATGGTCACTTTTCTCAAGCTTGAGGACTCCAGTCCAGCAGACAGTGGTGTGAAGCCTGCATCCCAGACTGTACAGCCTCCTGCTTGGTCCTGGGGTGGCCCTGGAGTGGAGCATCCATACTCCTGTGGTCCCCACTCTCCGTGCCCCGCCCCACATTCCCTGTCTGGTGTGCCGGGCATCTTCCTGGCCCCCTCCTCAGCCCTGTTCTGGGCCTGGCAGCCTAGCGCAGAGATGAAGAGCTCAGACCGGCTGGATTCAGATTCTGGCCTGTCCACTGCCTTGTTGT